CTAAATTAAATTATAATAAAAAATTTGAGTTAAAAAATTACACAAAGAATATGAATTTTAAATAGTTTATTTGATACTAATATCGATATATTTTTATCAAGTTTTTATGATATCTTCAGTTTTATATGTTATTCAAAAATAAAAACATAATCGTTTTTTTTTCTGCTTTTTCAGGATCACATAAGACCATATTATAACAACTACTGAGATAAAAAAAAATATTAAAATTAAGATGTATCTCCCTGTATTGCGCGAGTACCCTTCTAATGTATATATATATATATATATATATATAGAGAGAGAGAGAGAGAGAGAGAGAGAGGGGAAAAGCGCCAAAGAAAGAGGGTGGAGGGGTCACCTTCTTCTACAAATCCAATAATTTATACGAACTTACAAACCAATTTTCATGCGTTGTTTAGTATATGAAGCAATGTGTGTGAAAATTAATACAATGCAATGTTGTTTTATATGTATGTGAGAAATTTCATATATGAACCAATACTGTATAAAAATTGCATTTTCATACGTATGGTTTCATTTGTAACACAACTAATAACTAAGAATTGGTTTATAAGTTCGTATAATTATTAGGTCTGTAATTACTGATTATACGTCTATATATATATACATACATATGCATGCATTCTACACAGAGTTTATGATATTATTATATATGTTGTATTTTGATTTTAGGTGAAGAAGAAGTGCAAGCTTTATGTAGATAATGCCTCAGAGAGACTAAAACTGTGTGTGAAGGCATTTTGTGCACAAGACAATATAAGTGCTCAAGCATTTGCCTCACAAGCCAACTCCCTATCCATTAATGGAACCAAACTCCTAAATGCCATCAACTCCAAGAAAGTAAGCTCCTGTTTTCATTATATATATATATATATATATATATATATATTAACGATCAAATGAAAACCATCCTCATTTGTACAAACCACCCAATTTATATATATATATATATATATATATATAAAAGCATATGTATACACTTCGACCGTAGATTGTTTTAGTACTATAAATTGATAATTGCATGAAAAAGAAACATATTTTAACTTGATTTTTATTTTAGTTAACGTACTTTCAAAACTTCCATTTTGGTACCTAAGATGTAAAGTTTTAAACATTTAAGTAACAGGGTAACCGGTTGATGCATTAACCAGTTACCATGTTAATGACATGTTGATGCGGCGAGTGATGTAGTATCCGGTTAATGCTGCAAATAAAACTGAGTTGGATACCACATCAGCATGGTAACCGGTTAATGTTTCAACCGGGCTACCCGGATACTTAAATGTTTAAAACTTTACATCTTAGATACCAAAATGGAAGTTTTAGAATCAAGTTAAACGACATTACTTTTTCATGCAACTTGTACCAAGTTAAAAGTAAAAATCAGGATATTGTATACTTACAACAGTATTTTCTGGTATAGGAAAGCATGAAATGGGAAACACTTCCAATCGAGTTCTTGAAACCCTACTGCATGAATACAGCAGAAAAGCTGCAAGCTGTGGAGATACCTGTAAAAGGCCTGCAGATTGCTTTGCATCATCTTCATTCATTCCCACCTCAAATCCTTGATCATGATCTAAAGGATAGCTTGCATAAGCTTCAAGAAAACATAACCCTAACCTTTGACCAACTCAAGTCCTGCATGCCTTCTGATCATTTGGCAACTTTTCCCGAGTCAAATCTTGAAAATCTAATGCTTCCCCTCCATTCTTTTCCTCAAACCCACAAAGATTTGCCCTCTTTTTTCTTCTTATTTTGTTCCAAATTGCTTCAAAAAAAGATGACAGAAAGTTCATCGGCAAACCCTTTGTCATCAAGGGATGAACGGAATAAAAAGAATCCAGAATGGAATCTGTCTGAATGGATCAGCACCTTTGTGAGGCATAGAAGGTTCATGCTAGCATTGAAATGTTCATTATCAGTAGGTTTTGCTGTTCTGTTTGGACTAATCTACAGCAAGCAAAATGGGATATGGTCTGGCCTGCCTGTAGCAATAAGTTTTGCAGCTTCGAGAGAAGCCGCATTTAGGGTTTCAAATCTCAAAGCTCAAGGCACTGTGTTAGGAACTGTGTATGGAGTGTTGGGCTGCTTTGTTCTTGAGAAGTTTGTTAAAGTAAGGTTCTTGATTCTTCTTCCATGGTTCATATTCTGTAGCCTGATTAGGCGAAGCCGTATGTACGGTCCAGCCGGTGGGGTGTCGGCTGTAATCGGGGCTGTCCTAGTTCTGGGCAGGGAGAATTTCGGGTCACCAACGGAGTTTGCAATCATCAGAATTGTGGAAGCATTCATCGGATTATCTTGTTCAATTGTTGTCGAACTCGTGTTCCAACCTACTAGAGCTTCAACTCTAGCCAAGATCCAACTCTCGAAGACCCTTCAAGTTTTGCACGAGTGTGTATGCGCGGTGAGCCTTGGCAGCGGCAGCAAAGATTGCATCGGAAATGGTCGAAACAAGCTCAAAGCTAATGTGAATGAGCTAAGGAAGTTCATTCAGGAGGCTGAAATGGAACCCAACTTTTGGTTTTTGCCCTTCAATGGTGTCTGTTACAATAAGCTTTTAAAGACACTATCAAACATGGAGGCTCTTTTGGTCTTTATGAACCATGCAAATGAATCTTTAGAACAAGAATCAAGGCAAATGGGAAGAACCATGAGTTTCAAGATTCTTGAAGGTGATGTTGAGCTCTTTAAGGAAATGATCCACCCTTCAATCAAGTGTTTTGAGAGGGTTATTTTGGTCAAATCACTAAACAAGCTTGACAAGGATCTTCAAAAGAGTGGCCCCTCTAGTGATATTGAATTGGGGAAGTTACCATATAGCCCTCAAAAGCTCAATGTGCATAGTGAGGATGAGATGGGCAAGATGGTAAATTCATATCTAGAAAGATCAAAGGAATTTGTTGTTGGAGAAGGGTGTGAGGAGGTGAAGGGGCATGAATTGGTGTTGAGTTTAAGTGCTTTTGCATTTTGCTTAAGAGGGTTAGTGAGGGATACCAAAGAGATTGAGAAAGGGGTTATGGAACTTTTGCAATGGGAGAATCCTTCAAGTCATGTAAATTTGTATGAAATTTCTTGCAAGATTCATGCTATATGCGATATTTGATGCGAATTGCTTCAAAAATAAATGAAAAAGATCAGATATGTTTTTGATACGATATATTTGTATTTTAAATGTCTTCGTATATTCATGTTCTCTCTTTTGTTTAGATATGCAAAATTGCAAATCAAAAGATTTGTACTTTCATGTACTCTTTTTTCTTTATCATAATATAAATTTGATATTCGATTGATAGCAAATAACAAGTGATGGAAAAGTTCAAAAAAGAACCATAAATTCTTGTAATAACCAAGAACCAATTATTTCATTACATCTTACAACTCATTGATGAAATAATCATGAATATAATTCATTTTAACCACAAAGGTGGTGCCTGATTGGTTTGAGCTTGACTTCAAAGATCAAAATTAAAGTATCAGGAGGTCTCAGGTTCAAATTCAATGAGGAATAAATTAAAATCCCCTTGTGCCAAGAAGGTTCAAATGCGGTGACTTTGGGTTATCTGCAAAACAGGTGGTTGTCATGGGATTAGTCGGCTCGTATATCAAGTTGGATATCCAGGTTAATAAAAAAAAATCATTTTCATAATTCATAATATATCATGTATTTTCATTGTTAATAACTTTTGTCATGGATATCTACAACCACATTTATCATAATTAATACATGAATATTTTAGGGGTCATTCACTAAACACTTACCCAGTAAGTACTTACCCAGTAAGTACTTACCGGATAATTTTCCTCACCGAATGAACATGACAAGAGCCAAAAATCTTACCCGGTAAGAGCGATAATAAGGACAGAGAGTCTTACCCGGTAAGTGGGAGTGGCGACTCTTACTCGGGTAAGCGCTTACCAGGTACATTGTTGTATATGATACGTTCTGATGTACTACAATCTTACCGAATTAAATAAATTATAGTGTTGACTCCTAACATTAAGCACTTACCGAGTAAGCATTTAGGTAAACAGTCCCTTAGTTTCAAGACACTCAAAATAATTACGCTTTCATTTAAACTTACCCCTAGATATGATAAATATGTAAAATGCTTGCTTTCTATCAATTTTCATTTCATAAAACTTACTTTAAAGTCATGATTTTGTTACATAGGTTTTTTTTTGGAAATTGAACTGTTAAAAACACACATATAATTATGTTGATTAGTTAGGTGTTGATGTGACACCACTCAACTTGAGTATTAAAATATATGGATTTTTTTTATTAACCTGGATATCCAATTCGTTATGCGAATCGACTAATCTCAGGACGATCACATGTGTTGCAGATAGTCTGGAGTCACTGTATTTGAACCTCCGTGGCCACAAGGGTTTTTTATGCCTCCTTGAAATTGAACATGTGACCTCCTGGTACTTTTAACCTTTAGAACCAAGCTTAAACCAATCAGACACCACCCTTATGGTTATGAAAGTTATGCTTCAAATGGAACTATGTTTTCATAAAATGAAAATTGAATTAATATGCGTACCATTTGCATATAATTAACCATATTAAAAAAGAACTAATAAAAAGGATATACTTTTATTTTTTGGTTTTTTAGGATTCATAATTAAAAATAAAATCAGAGCTTATGTGCTGAATTTGATATGCGTAGATTCGATTTGGAGAAGAGATTCTTTCTCGTAAGAACATGACAAGCTAAGTGAAGTCATTCAGAACTGGCAAGCACCCGAAAGCACTAGACCAATAAGCTAGATCTCCTTAAGGGGCAATGCAAGTCTAGCCAGACCGCTCCGCTCGTGCTTCTCCTTGCGTCTTGCAYTAGAACAGGGAAATCGCTACTAAAGCACTTTCTCTCATGAATTGAAAGAGTTCTATCTCATATAGGGTCAAAACGAGAAAGAAGTGATGTTTATGGGTTTCTTTTGCTGTTGATCTCACATTGGGAACAGCTCCCTCGTGTTTAGGATGATCGGACGAGAGATCTTCCTACGACTCCAAGAACCCGTTGTTCTATTTTCATGTTACCTTTTCTTCATCGTCAATGCGGCTCGTCCCTTCCTTGGTGAAAAGGGGGACCCCCTCCGCCGATGGTTTTCGAGCGTCTATCGATGTTGGTCCTTTTCCTTTCCATTCTAGTAAATACAACAATTTATATTTTAAAGTATAATAAATAAAACATTCATTTTTGCTTTCATAAATATTAATTATATTCTTTAAAAAGATAGCAAATAAAATTATTATATATTTTTAGAATATATATTCAACATTGTCATATTCAATTCTAACCCAACTTGTTAAATAAAACTAATGTTTTGCCCAAACGATTTGGTCCAACCCAGATAAATTATGTAAGATTAATCTTAATATAATAGGCCCAACCCAAGAGCCCAAAGGTAGTAATTTTCTCTTCAAATCTTTCCTAGTAATTTTAGTCTTAGTGATGGCCAAAAACCGGTCCTGGGTCGGGCCGGGCCGGTCCCAACCGGTGCCAAGTTTTCTCATAACCGGTCTTGGCGTAACCGGTCCCGGTCCTGGTCCTGATCAAATAGTGGAGCCCGGTCAAGCTTTATTGTAACCGGTTATGGGCCGCCGGTCCTGGTTATTAAAAAATATTTTTATTTTTTATTTTTTTAATGATATATATTTTTAATACATTATAAAATTTGTAATTAGGTCACTCAAATACACTTTAAAAATACGTTTTATTATAATTAAAATTACATTGTTTTACAAAATATAGCGAGAAACCGATAATTTTGAACGTTTTTTTGCGTTTTTGTGAATCGAGAACTTGGTATGTAAATCCCTCAAACAAGACACTTATATATAGTGTTTAGAAAGTAAAACATACGAAAAAGGGCCAAAAAACAGCTAGTTTTTTTCTTTTTGAAAAATTACGGCTACATTTTTTGTTATAAAATAGCTACATTTTTTAAAAATCAGGTCGGGCCAGGCCATAGGCCCATAACCAGTCCCGATCCCGCAAAACACCCCAAATCCATAACCGGACCTAGATTTCAGTCATATAACCGGTCCTTACCGGTCTTGATCCCGAACCGGACCGGTTTGGCCATCGCTACTTTCATTTTCGGGGGTAAAATTTATCAATTTGCCTGATACATGGTAACTTTATAACTTTTTTCATAATTAGATCTTTAAATAACAATCAATCTATCAAGGTTGTAGGTGAGTAGTGTTGGCCAATTTAACATAGTTTGAATAACTTAACTCAACTCAACTATTTCAGTTTGAAAAAGCATAATCTAAAACTTCGGAGTCGTTTACCAAACACTTACCTAGATAAGTGTTTATCAAGTCATATTACTTTACCGGATGAATAAGGCAAGAACCAAGAATCTTACCCAGTAAGATCAAGACAAGGACAAAGAGTCTTATTTGGTAAGTGAGGATGACAATTTTTACCACGGTTAGCGCTTACCGGGTAAATTGTTGCATAAAATGCAGTTTTTGTTGACTAAAATCTTACTCCATAAATAAGTGATAGTGTTGAATTTTATTGATATGTATTTACTGAACAAGTGTTTGGTAAACGACCGTTTAATTCATTATATACTGGTTTAGATTGGTGAGGTTTGGGTTGGACGGTTAGAACCTAATATTTAAAAATATAATAATATTTTAATTCCAATTCAAAAAATCAAATACTAGTGGTTGGTATGTATTGAACAACTCAAAATATTATAATCATCCAAGTTTAGGTCTAATTAGGGTTGTAAACGAATCGAACCAACACGAACATATGTTTGTTCATATTTGTTCGTTTAACTTAACCGAACAAACGAACTAACATGAACGGTAAACGAATAAAAATCTTTGTGTTCGTGTTCATTCATTCGTTTAGAAATCAAGTGTGTTTGTGTTCATTTGTTAACATGCTAAACGAACGAACATAAACGAACGGACTAAACAAACATAAACGAACATAAATAAATAAACATCACTACTTGTAGAAGGTTTCATCTGAAGACTAGGATTTTGGGGAAAAAGTGAAAAGATAAAAATTTCAAATAAGACAAAATGATGATAAAATTTAAATCTAAAAAAATTCTAAAAAACTAAAACTTAAATAAATATTATTTGAATTCAAACTAAATAAATAAAAGATTATATTTAAATTAACTATCTAAACGGATATAAACCTAAGCGGTTAAGCCTAGAGTCTAGTCTCCCCATTTTCCTTTTAGAAATGGGAAGAGTCTAAAAAACCCAATGGACTTTAGTGTTTGAAATGATTAAGTTGTTGGATAATTTTTTGAAACAAATAAGTGTTTTGTACATTCCAAAACATGTTAAATAACTTCTTAGACTTGCTAAAACATGTTATATACATCCTTTTATGACATATAAAACTGGTTAATGTGGTAAAATAATGAAAAAAACCTGAAAATAATTTATGTTTGTGTATGCATATATATGTAAAATAATGCAACCCATATTTAACAGTTTCAATAAATGCAACCCAAATCTGTAGTGGTAAATTGATTTGTGGTGATCAAGCACTAAGGCTGGAAACGCCCTATGTTCAATTTGATCTATTTTTTTGGTAAATCCTGTTTTGGACACCACATAGAACCACAATATTTTTTCCACATTGTAACACAAAACCTTAAAGCAAATCTACAAATCATATCCAATATTGTTTACCCACACTATGGAAAACACAACATTAGGAACAAAACCATTTAACATTGTTCAAAATAATTTCATATCTTTAGAAGAGAACATTGATCAACAATATAACTGACGGATGTCGAGTCCGGCAAATAATAAAATTTATGAAAATAAGCCTATTATCTCTAAAACACACTTGTAATAGCGATAAGTAGGGTCGTCTCCTCAGGGACTCGGTGTTAACCATAAGTCCAAGACGTAAACGCGTGCAAATTCATTAACATTAACAATATATAAAAAGGGGGGTTGGATGATTTATAAACAGCCTAAATATGCAAAATAAATTGGAAATTTTAAACACTAATAAGAACGAGACTAGCAATGAGCATCAATCAACTAATCATTTGGATTATATATCATCGACTCGTTCAAATAAATACTTTCTCGATAG